TTAAATTTAATTAGTATAGTGTAAGTAGATTCTTATATCTAGTTAATTCATTGTATGTGAAGAGATCTTTTGTCCATTAAATTAATTGTATGTGAAGAGATCTTATATCAGTTAAATTAATTCTATATGAAGAGACCTTGTATCTGTTAACTTAATTGTATGTGAAGAGATCTTATATCAGTTAAATTAATTGTATGTGAAAAGATCGTATGTCAGTTAAATTTATTGTATGTGAAGACACCTTGTATCCGTTAACTTAATTGTATATGAAGAGATCTTATGTCAGTTAAATTTATTGTATGTGAAGACACCTTGTATCCGTTAACTTAATTGTATATGAAGAGATCTTATGTCAGTTAAATTAATTGTATGTGAAAAGATCGTATGTCAGTTAAATTTATTGTATATGAAGACACCTTGTATCCGTTAATTGTATATGAAGAGATCTTATGTCAGTTAAGTTAACTATGTATGCTCATAACTTTGTTGATTTTTCTGAAATTTTAAACCAAACAGAGCTGAATAGTTTCTATGTTTGATCACAGTTTTTATTTATTTTCAGGTTAGAAACTTAGATGGTATCCCATTGATATTAGACTGCTGTAATTTAGATGCACGAAATCCATGTATCCTTTTAAATTATTTAAAAAGTATTATTGTTTTGTAAAAGTCTGGTGTTCTGTTACTGCTGCTACTAGTAGTTTGTGTTTATAATTTTAAAAATAGCATTAATTTAGAATATAAATTTATTTTCCAGTTTGAAGTAAAGAGCATAGGGCTATGACACAGGTATATGGAGAGTAATTTTTAATATTTCATATATCATATTTTTCTATATCTGTCTGGTGAATGAGACAGGTTCATGTAAAATATATTCACACAATGAAAGACTGAGTTGTGTAAGTGTAATATATATGTACATGGTGAAAGAGAGAGAGATTGTATAGTTTATTTCAGCTTGAGCTATATTTACATGACAACACATGGTTTATTTTAGCTTTATATATATATATTTATGTGTCAAAAGAAAGACAGCATCAGCACGAGATATATTTACACAACGAAAGAAAGAGACAGTTTAAGTGTGCATAAGATGACAGTAACGTATGGTGTATCATTCATCTAAGGATAAAATGTATTTATGCAATAGAAGAAAGACAGCTGAGTGTAAAATTCAGTAATGGAAACAGAAGAGGAGTTACAAACAACTATATAAGGAACTTAATAGTGGTACAAACTTTATCCCAGGAACTTAATAGTGGTACAAACATTATTGCAAGAACTTAATAGTGGTACAAACATTATCCCAGGAACTTAATAGTGGTACAAACATTATCCCAGGAACTTAATAGTGGTACAAATATTATCCCAGGAACTTAACAGTGGTACAAACATTATCCCAGGAACTTAATAGTGGTACAAACATTATCCCAGGAACTTAATAGTGGTACAAACATTATCGCAAGAACTTAATAGTGGTACAAACATTATCCCAGGAAACTTAATAGTGGTATAAACATTATCCCAAGAAACTTAATAGTGGTACAAACATTACCAAGGAAACTTAATAGTGGTACAAACATTATCCCAGGAACTTAATAGTGGTACAAACATTATCCCAGGAACTTAATAGTGGTGCAAACATTATCCCAGGAAACTTAATAGTGGTACAAACATTATCCCAAGAAACTTAATAGTGGTACAAACATTATCCCAGGAACTTAATAGTGGTACAAACATTATCCCAGAAAACTTAATAGTGGTACAAACATTATCCCAGGAAACTTAATAGTGGTATAAACATTATCCCAAGAAACTTAATAGTGGTACAAACATTATCCCAGGAAATACACATGAAAAGTTTAAGTGGTAAAAAGCTAGTGTTTCTTATGTAAGCCCTCTGTTTTACACAGAGTGTTGCATATTATTTTATCAGTAAGTCATTGTGGAATATTGTCCCTAATATCCTCTATCACTCCCCCATAATTCGTCCAGGTTTTTTGGTCACCTTCTGACCTTATAAGTTTTTACATTAATCCATTCAACTTTAAGAATGTCCATATGAAGATATTGTGTAAGCCAAACTGTAATTATGAATGTTCCATTAACCTTTAAGATATCATTTTATCACATCTGCTGTGTGATAGGATCATTGTATTGCTGGAAGATGGAAACCCACACATTAAGTCATGTATCTATGTAAATAGCATGATGAATTATAATGTCTTTAATTGTCATCAGTTAAGAATGCCATCAAATATATCACCAACACCATTAGCAGCCCCAAAATTATACTGACCCCCACTATGCTTCACTATACATGTTGTACATTGACTAAACTGTGTTTAGTTGATACTGAACAATTTGAACTTGGATTCACACCTCTAGCATTGTTCCTTCTACTGTTACATTAAAGCCTTTTAGTTTGTTACCCATTCATAGCAACTACACATTCTATGAGATCAATTCAGGCTATTTTACATCTTAATGTTCTTGAGGTAACTTTCACAAAGTTATTGACAAGGTCTGTACTTGATAATTAACATTACTTTTTGAGAATTTTGATTTTCCTACTTTGACAACTTCTATCAATAACAATGCTATTTTCACATAGTATTATCAGTGTCTTGCCACAATTGTTTGAATGGAGTGTTCTTAACCAGCCAGAACTTTGATTTCCGCATGCTTGGCATGTGGTAATTCAATCCTTGCAACCATTTATAGGAAACACTATTATTACTACAGCAACCGGCTGTATTTTATAAGCTGTATACTTTCCGCTTTTCGTTGGTTGAATGACAACCAGTCATGGTATAAGCTATCAACATATGACTGTGTCGTTCATTCTATTGTGGTAAAAGGGTAACATTCCCATAATATTTCCATTACTTCATTTATACAACAGAAAATTAATAGATTGTGTATGTTGAATGACAACCAGTCACGGTATAAGCTATCAACATATGACTGTGTCGTTCATTTTATTGTGGTAAAAGGGTAACATTCCCATAATATTTCCATTACTCCATTTATACAACAGAAAATTAATAGATTGTGTATGTTGAATGACAACCAGTCACAGTATAAGCTATCAACATATGACTGTGTCGTTCATTTTATTGTGGTAAAAGGGTAACATTCCCATAATATTTCCATTACTCCATTTATACAACAGAAAATTAATAGATTGTGTATGTTGAATGACAATCAGTCACAGTATAAGCTATCAACATATGACTGTGTCGTTCATTTTATTGTGGTAAAAGGGTAACATTCCCATAATATTTCCATTACTCCATTTATACAACAGAAAATTAATAGATTGTGTATGTTTTGTATAAGTGTAATATATATATATATATTTACGTGATTAAAGAAAGAGATTGTATTATTTGTGTAAGTATAAACATAATAAAAAGTGCTTGTTTAATATGGGAGAGTTTAGATGATATGAATGAACGATTTATCGTTAATGAGTGGAAAAGTTAGTATAAAAGAATGGTTTTTAGTGGGAAAACTGACAATATGTAGTAGATCTAAGATTTTAGAACATTACCTAAATTTTAATTTGTACACATTTCATTTTAGTATTTAGAGATGGAATTTATAGTAATACGGAAAAGTATTTTATTTTCTTCCTGACGAAAAAATGTTCAGATATTTTACAGTGGTCAATTTTTGCTATACGAAATCTACTGAACAAAAACAAAGAAAATCAAAAAGTGGTAGCCAACATGTCAGCTACAGGTGTTCTTGTTAATAATGATATTCTGACTGAACTTGGACAACTAGAGAGATCATGAAATCAGTATGGACTTGAACTTAATATGTCTGTAGTCTTGAGATGTTTTAGTAAATGTTGAGTGGTTTTGTGAAGAAAAAAATACATTTGTTATGTTAATTATTTTTCAAAATACAATTCACACGTGCTGTAAGGGACATAATTGACCATCAGGCTTATATTGATATTTTGCATTATATAAAGCAAAATGAAAATCTTGTATCAAAGTTCTATTGAATGTCATAAACCAGTTATGCATAATAAGTGGCTAAGCTGAATAAAATTACTAAAAGTTAAACATGAAAACTTGACATTATGTTTATATAAAACGTCTTTGAAGCACGTCATTACTAAAAGTTAAACATGAAAACTTGACATTATGTTTACATAAAACACGTTTGAAGCACGTCATTACTAAAAGTTAAACATGAAAACTTGACATTATGTTTACATAAAACACGTTTGAAGCACGTCATTTCTAAAAGTTAAACATGAAAACTTGACATTATGTTTATATAAAACACGTTTGAAGCACGTCATTACTAAAAGTTAAACACGAAAACTTGACATTATGTTTATATAAAACACGTTTGAAGCACGTCATTCTAAAGTTAAACATGAAAACTTGACATTATGTTTATATAAAACGTTTTTGAAGCACGTCATTACTAAAAGTTAACCACGAAAACTTGACATTATGTTTATATAAAACGTGTTTGAAGCACGTCATTACTAAAAGTTAAACATGAAAACTTGACATTATGTTTATATAAAACGTGTTTGAAACACGTCATTACTAAAAGTTAACCACGAAAACTTGACATTATGTTTATATAAAACGCGTTTGAAGCACGTCATTACTATAAGTTAACATGAAAACTTGACGTTATGTTTATATAAAAAGTCTTTGAATCACGTCATTACTAAAAGTTAAACATGAAAATTTGACATCATGTTTATATAAAACATGTTTGCAGCACATAAAAGTGTTCTGTTTTCTCACACTAATTGTATAATTCATACAATACACGAGACAGCTTATCATGTTGGAAATATGTAAACACAGCTCTAGAAAGTTTCGATATTATAAATTTAAAATGGGAGCATAAACAAAAGACTATCTTCTTAACTGGTAAGCCTACAACTACTATAATCGTTGTACCATTCTTGTTTGGTGCCGAGTTCTTTTAAATTATCTGGTAAAAATGATTCAATGTCCAGTTCACATAATAACAAATTACTTTTATTTCCTCCTTAAAAGTTTCCTTACAGACTTGTACATTTTGTAAGCCTACGTTTACAGTTACGTTACTTGAATACTACTAACGTAAAAATCAACATATTTGTACAAGATAACTCAATATGCTCGTTAGCTAACACACATCCACAAACATAAATTCACTGACTTGTTCACTCTATCAGTTAGAAAATAAATCGTGATGGTTCACTGCAAGCGTACCTAGCCAATTAGCTAGCTCACCCATATTTATAATCTAATCCTTGTTGTACATATTTCGCAAAGTCTAGGTTTTCGTGGCGTCAATATAGAATTTTCTAGGCCTACTCTCATGAGTTTGCTTAACGTCATCCCCTTCTAGCTAACATCTAAATTTCAGCATGAAAAATATAGCTTATAACAGTATCTATCATTTTATCAGTCAGTTTGAATGACAGAATAGGGCTGCCTGATAATGATATAAACCAGATATAACATACAGTATCGATGGATGTAAACAAGAAACAAAAACTGTGGTAACCGAGCGTTGTCAATATAAGTACAAACGTAGTGTATCTTGAAGAACAGTTAATATTTTAACCACACTATATCTGCCAACAACTAATAATAATTACAAGTCACTTACTTACTTAACCGAGTTCACCTCTTAGCAATAAGTTGATAATGTAGCGTCTGTACTACTACTATATTCCAGACGTCGTGATGAGTCCTCGTATTTCGCGAAAGGTCTCGTTGGCACTGGATATGGCATCTATTGTATAGTTGATATATTATTGTTTACTTTCATTCATAAGTTCTTATAACTTAACTATCTCCCGTTGACTCTGTTATTGCTCGACAAAATTAACTTGTGTAAACAGACGTATAGTGTAAAGAACCCCACAACTATCATAGTCAAGAATTGAATTATGACAGAACCCCGGACAGTTACTATATAGTAAAAGTATAAAAAAAACATTTTGTTCTGTTTTTTAACTACTACCTTGTTGATTTTTATTGAGACACTCATAAGATTCTATAGGCACGTGAGGGTTCTCTTGTAAATCAAACCCCAAACATTTGCCGACTGTCTCTCAGTTAAACTAACTTCTTCCAACTTATCATCGCCACCAGCATTCCTTTTACAGTGTTCAGCGATATGCAGAAATTTTAAGATGATTAGCTTCAGATAAACGCAGGAGTTACAAGTAACAGTTTGGACTTATAAGCAGAAGATTAAAAACCATGAGTTACAAGTAAAAAGTATGAACTTACAAGTAGAAGATGATAAACGCTGGAGTTACAAGTAACAGTTTGAACTTATAAGCAGAAGATGATAAACGCTGGAATTACAAGTAACAGTTTGAACTTATAAGCAGAAGATTAAAAATCATGAGTTACAAGTAAAAAGTATGAACTTACAAGTAGAAGATGATAAACGCTGGAGTTACAAGTAACAGTTTGAACTTACAAGTAGAAGATTAAAAATCAGGAGTTAATTACAAGTAGAAAAATGATAAGTTATAATTTCTTGTTCAGTTCGTTCGTGAGTTTTAGAATTTTGGAAGCTATTTGCCTCTTTCATCCCTCAGTATCACATATAAGACTAATACGTTAAATATTTTAGTACGCTAGTTTCCTTGTCGTTCCTTCGATGAATTTCTTCAGTGACGTAAAACTGTGAAGCTGAACAAACTTTTCTAACTACATAAAAACAATTTCCTTTCAATGTTTTGTATCATGTTATTTTCCAAATGAATCATGCGTTTAAGCTCAAGGACAACTTCTAGAAAAACAAAATAAGAATTAACATTCTCTGAAACTATAAGAAATATTACTGCCATAAATATCGTAACCCGTCTACTGAATGAATGCAAAGACAATATAACCTATGTTAATATTACTTGCTGAGTTAACGTTTTAGTTTTATTATATGTATGTAGCTTGCTTTGATAAGAGGTTAAAGTAAATATATTAGCAGTAAATGCGTGAGGAAACATCTGACCCTGAAGTGTTAAAATATCTTAGCATGTCAGTGCTAAGCATGTAAAACATCGAACCATACAGAGTTAAACATGTGAAATATCTAAACATTACAGTGCTAAACGTGTAAAATAGCTAACAATACAATGTTAAACATGTAAAATACTTAAACATACAGTGTTAATCATGTACAATATCCATCCACATCAGGTACAGACTTCCATATAGTGTTAAACATGTAAACCATTTAAACATATCAGGTACAGCATTCAGCCATATAGACATATAAAACATTTAACTACATAGTGTTAAAAATGTAAAATATTTAACCCTACAGAGCTAAACATGTACAACATTATAACCATATCAGTTACAGCATTCAACCATATAGACATATAAAACATTTAACTACATAGTGTTAAAAATGTAAAATATTTAACCCTACAGAGCTAAACATGTACAACATTATAACCATATCAGTTACAGCATTCAACCATGCAGGGTTAAAATGTAAAATATCTAAACATACAGTGTTAAATATGTAAATTATCTAATCATATAGTGTTAAACATGTAAAATATTTAAACATCAAGGGTTCGAATCCCTGTCACACCAAACATGCTTGCCCTTTCAGCCGTGAGGACGTTATAATGTGACGGTCAATCCCACTATTCGTTGGTAAAAGAGTAGCCCAAGAGTTGGCGGTGGGTGGTGATGACTAGCTGCCTTCCCACTAGTCTTACACTGCTAAATTAGGGACGGCTAGCGCAGATAGCCCTCGTGTAGCTTTGCGCGAAGTTCAAAAACAAACAAACAAACAAGTTAAACATCGAAAATAACTAAACGTATTAATGAAAGTTTATTTACTCAGATTACGTGAAAAAGCTAGCCCCTTCAAATCCTGTGGTTGGCGCCATGCTACCACCAAAAATAAAATCGCGATCCTTACTTTGGGCTCGAATAAGAGTGACAGTCAAATCCCATTTTTCGGTTTGAAAAGAATTGGCGGTAGATGGTATTGACTTGTTGCTTTCCGTTCAGCCTATCACTCTTCAATTTGGGATGGCCAGCCCAGATAGCCCTCGAGTGGTTTTGTGCAAAGTTCAACAAAAAAATAAAACATTTCAAGTTTAATATACACAGAATATATGTTATTTTAGCACAAAACTACAATACGGACTCTGCGCTCTGTCCACCACAGGGATCAAACCCAGGATTTTATCATTGACTACCAGGGGACTCAAAATCTAATTGGACTGAATTAAGTTCAATTTTGGATCTGATCTACACAGAACACAGCTGTCTTAAAGTGATTCCAGATTGGATCTACAAAGCACATAATTGGACTGAAATGATTTCTTTTTTCTCATTTGGTCTACATAGAATATAATTATGCTGAAGCGACTTCGATTTGAGGTTTAATCTACACAGAATATAATCAGACTGAAGTGACTTCGATTTGAGGTTTAATACTTCAGTCCGATTATATTCTGTGTAGAACCCAAGCTTCAAATTTATTTCTACACAGGAATATGATTACACTGAAATTAAAGAAGCAGATATATTTGAAAAAGAATATGGTTGGAAATGAGTTTACCAGAACAAGATTAGACAATACTGAAGATGGTTTTATATTTATTTATCAAGCAATTGTTAACTTTGGAACCAATCACAATAAGACATTTGTCCTATTAATCGTATATTAATGACCAATAGTTCAATATTCATTGTGCTGAATATTTCTAAATGAACGTATTTTCATAATTGAAATTTTAGATAATTTTATATAGATAACATGAACAATAACAGTGAACGAATAAAACTTAGAACTACCAAGAATGAAGATACTGTTGGTTTATCTTCAAGCTGTGTTTACTTTGTGAATAAGGAACCATTCCTGGAATCAATGACGTAGAGGTATGAAAGTGAACTAAAAGTTTTATTCTAGCAAAAGTAAACATTTCACAACGACGGACTATTGAAAAAAAAAGTTAATTCTTAAGCTGCAATAAAAAACAAACCCGCAGGTGAGACCTGCTCCATAAATACAACAACTAAGCTCACTTTGTACGTAGTTTTATAGACGTAAAAGTATTTTTGAAGCAGCAACATGAAAATCTTAATCTTGTTCATAATGGTTACTAGTGCAGTTAGCTTGTCAGGAAAGCATTTTCTGTGGTTCTCATGTGGTAAGTATAATGTGCATCTGCCTTTGTGGCCAGCAGTAAAATGTTTATTTAGTATTGTAGTCAACAATAAACTTGTAGACATAGTACTAGAATCAACACTACATTGGTATATTTAGTGTTGTAGTCAACAGTAAAATGGTACATATGGTATTTTAGTCAGCAGTAAACTGGTAGATACAGTATTGTAGTCAATAGTAAAGTGTTAAACATGGTGTTTCAGTCAACATTAAGCTTGTAGATATTGTGTTTTAGTCAACGATAAATTGGTCAGTATAGTATTGTGGTCAACAATGGACTGGTAGACATGGTATTGTAGTCAACAGTAAACTTGTGAACATAGTACTGTAGTGAACAATAAATGGGTTGATATAGTACTGTAGTCAACACCAAACTGGTCAATATAGTATATTGTAGTCAACAATGGACAGGTAGACATAGTATTGTAGTCAACAATAAACTGTAGTTAACGGCAAACTGGTCAATATAGTATTGTAGTCAACAGTAAACTTGTGAACATGGTATTGTAGTCAACAGTTAACTGGTCAATACATTATTGTAGTCAATAATAAACTGGTATATACACAGCGTGGTCACAAGTAGATAGACACCACCTTTTCAGAAAAAATGAAAACTTTCATTCATATTCACATGAATTAATATATTTATAATTTAATTAATATATAGTAGATCTTCCTTTCGCTTCGTGGAGTTCGTTGATCCTTTGGGACATCGTGAGAATCATCTCGTCAGTTTTAGATTGTGGGATTTTCGCCCACTCTTGCTTCAAAACTTGGAGTAGATCGCTCTTCGAAGTTGGTTTTTTGGTTGTTTCTTGACTTGCCGGTCGAGTATGGCCCAGAGGTTTTCGATGGGGTTCATGTCAGGAGACTGGCTCGGCCAGGGCAACTTCTGGATACCATTTTCTTTCTGCCACTTTTGGGTGTTTCTAGCAGTGTGACACGGTGCTCCATCTTCCTGGAACAACGTTATGTTCTTGTCCACGAAACCCGAGGAATGAAGTGGCAAGAGTCCTTCCTCCAATATTTCGACGTATTTCGCAAAATTTATGTTGCCAACGCACTCCACTAAGCTCGATCTCCCACCAACCCAAACAGCTTCCCAAACCAACACACTGAAACCACCATGCTTCACAGTTGACTGCAATCTGTTGAGGCAAAGTTCTTGGTAAGGCATTCTCCAGATCCATATCCTTCCACTGTCCGAAACTTGAGCGAATCTTGATTCGTCTGAGAACAATACGGTCTTCCAAAAGTCCAGATGCTTAGTCATCATATCATTTGCCCTCTTCTTTCGTATGACTATGTTGGCAGGTCTTAATAAGGGCTTCCGTCTAGCTGCTCTGCAACGATAACCCAATCTGTGGAGAATCCGTTGAACAGATTTCGGGCTCATCCCACCAGCTTTGGCCTCTTCTGCAGTCGTTAAGCTGGGATCCATTTCGATGCTCCTCTTGACAGCCGTTTTTGTCCTCTCCGATGGACCAGGACGACACGGACGCTGCTCAGTTGTTTCCTTGCCGTATTTCCTGAACTTCACGATGATTCTGTTGACTAT